TCTTTTTGCTATTGTAAATAGTGCTGCTATGAACATTGGTGTGCTAATTTTTTTTTAAATTTTAGACATTTTGATACAGGTTTTCTCCACTGTCCGAAAGGAGAGCATTACTTGGAAACCGTTAGCTGAGATGACATAAAGTGAAAAAGCAATTATTATCAACTTATTATTATTACCTTGGAAAGATTTTTGAGCATTCTCAGATCCAAGATATAACTCATGAAATCACACATAGTAAATAATACATAAAACCTCAAATAACACTGAAACCAAAAAAAAACTCACTGCCATGGGGTGGGTTCTGACTCATAGCGACCCTGTATAGGGTTTCCGAGGAGCACCTGGTGAGTTTGAATAGCCAATGTTGTGGTTCTCTATCCAGTGCTGATCCTACAGTACCAAGCTAGACTCACAAAGGCTCCTAGCCTATATAAAGTAGATACAGTGTATGCATAGTTGTTGGAGAAGGAGTAGGATGCGGATTCTTTCAGTTAGTTACGAATGTATATCTTTCATAAAGGTGAAGTGGCATAAAGTGAGCTTCCGGAAAGCAGGGATAAGTGTATTTCATAAGGCTTTCATTTGCATTTTCCTAATGGCTGGTGCGTGGGAGAAAGATGAGGCTTTCTGCTATTTCAGAGATACATCTACAGGGTCTCTAAGAGTTGGATCCAACTCGATGGCACTTAGCAACAAGAGTTTGTCACAAATAAAATATTTCTAAGCATTTTATTATTGGTATCACTAATCATTTCTTTTCTCTAGAGAATTCGCTATGCTTGTTATTTTGTGAATGATTGCAATCTGTTTTAAGAATTGAGAGTTTTAAGATGGTGTCTTTTTTTTTTAACTCGAAATAAAATATTTTAGCAAACTTTAATTGGTTTACTAGTATCTTTAAAGAAGAAAAACAATTAAATTTTTAAAAAGAATTTATATTTTCTTTCATAAAAAACATCTTTAGTAAAAACAACACATTCAAATTTAGATAGAAATCCCACCCCCACTCCCCCTTTGTAATTCACACCCTAGTGCGGTACTATAGGATAAGATCTGTTTGAACCACAAGGTTTGTGGTTCCAACTCACCAGTGCTCCTTGGAAACCCTATGCAGGGTCGCTATGAGTCAAATCAACATGACGGAATTTAACAACAATAATTCACACCCTTCTCCCTCTGGTGACAATTAGGTCCTCACTCTCAAGAACACAGCATCTGCTCTGACTAAGAACAGTGTTAACACAGACCCCAAACCAGGGCTTTTTGGGGAAAAAGAAACAGTAATAATTAACTTTTCCCTTTACTTACTAAGGGATTGTGAATCTAAAGTCTAAAACTCCTCCTTTCAAATATAGGAAACCTGCAGCTCAAGGCAAAAATGAAAACCAAAATGGATCAGGAACGAAGCGTTTAACAGCCTTATAGTACCATCTCATATACTTAAGACCAAGATGGTTTTTGAGAAAAAAGTATCTGATTATCTGGCCTCTTCTATTGGGAATGGCCCCGTGCTGCTGCTGTTACGTTTTTTAAAAAAGATTTCTGTCCACATGACTTCAGACAGCAAAACTGATTTCAGAATTTTGTCCAACATTGAGATACCCTGATTTCTGAATTCCACAGAGGTTGAGGTGAGCCCACAGACCTCTGCCCTGAGATGATCTTTGGATTGTGGTCCTTTAGAGAATGGGTTTCCTAAACAAGGCCTTAGAGAAATTGGTAGACAGGGTTTATCTTTGGCATTACGCTCTTTTGAAGAAGTATCTATGTGTAGTCAGTTTGAATAAGCAGAATCTCCAAGCTCAGACTAGAAGCTGTGTTTAGAGTAAATAATTATTACATAAACACTTCTGGGCCCTTTTCCATGGCAATGTTAATAAGCTGGGGAAGTTTTTTCCTCTTTGGAGCATTTTTTACTTGCTCGTTGAAATGTTACCCTGATTTTCTAATTTTATATTAAATAAACTTCAGTTTTTATTGTTGTTAAATGCAATGGATTTGGTTCAATATAAAGAATATCTCTAGGAAATATCTTGCCACACGTGCCAATTTGATTCTATTCTTAACATGTTTTGAACACTAGAATATGCTGTCAATTTGAAAGGTTTCATTTTATTGTGTAATGAGGTATAACTTAAATACCCATCATGATTTAAAATCATGACTTTTTAAAAATCAAAATTATAAATGATTTTTAAGTAACACGCTTTCTTTCTCTTTAGCTAAGAAATCTTCAAAATAAACTTCTCATAAAGGGAACTTCATTGCCATGGTTGAAATCTGAGTTAGAAAGTTACAAAGAAAATAATTTGTACTAGTGGGTTTAACATGAGTTTTGTTTTAAGCTATTTTATTTCCTTCTTGGTCCCTTCCTCAAAAACCAACCTGTACTGGCTTTCTGGTGTCACTTTTCCTCCCATAAGCCATATTTCCCTTTATAACTTTGAGGTGTCCTCTTTTCTGTAGTTGCCTTTTAAAAATAGAATGAATTTAAGCCTTGTTCTTTCTCCTGACTCTCTTCTGCGCCTATTGTTTGATCTGCAAAATAAGACTAGAAACTAAGTGGTATAATCAGAGGCTCCTCTCTAGGTCAGAGGACTATGTACATACTTCCCTTTATTTAGGGCACACTGTGAAGCAAAATGTACATGAGCCAAAGCAGGCATTTCTGTCTCTTCTGCTGGAATTAAAGAATTCAGTATTGGTACAATTGACTCTGGTAACAAATGTTAAACAAATTTAATGTTGTTGAGAGTAAAGTAATACGTTCCCTGCCATGCGTGCCAATTTGATTTTACTCTTAAAATGTTTTGAACACTAGAATATACTGTTCTATTTGAAAGGTTTCATTTTATTGTATCATATTATATAACTTAAATAACCATCATGATTTACAATCAAGACTTTTTAAAAAATCAAAAGTGTATATAGCTTTAAGTAACGTTTTCTCTTTCTCATTAGCTAAGAAATCTTCAAAACAAACTTCTCATAAAAGAAACTTCATTGCAAGAGATGAAATCTGAGTTAGAAAGTTACAAAGAAAATAATGTGCAACAGTTGTTCCAGATCATGTCCCTGAAAACTGATGTCAAGAACCTAGAGGAGCTTATTGCTTCTCTAACCAGAATTAAGTATTTGAAAAATACCAATATTCAGAATCTTGAAAGGGGCAACTGGGATTTAACGGGGCGAATTATAGAACTAGAAAATCGTCTAAGGTAGGGAATATTCTAGTGTTTTTTTTCTCTCAAATATGTTTCTTGTCATAACTTGCAAATAGTATGTAAGCTGCATGCTCCTGATTGAATACAGAATTTAAATCTACTAGAATTTCACTTACTTACCTGACCCAACATTACGTTTAATAAAAACAACATTTTTTTTAGAAGCATACAATATGTGGCCTTTTGTGTCTGCCTTATTTCACTAAGCATGCGTTAGTACTTCATTCCTTTTTAAAAAGGAATAATATTCTATTATACGAATATAACACACTGTGTATCATCAAGTTGATGAACATTTGGTTTTCTACTTTCTGACTAATTTTGCTATGAACATTCATGTATAAGTTTTTGGTGAATATATGCTTTCATTTCTCTTTATAGATCTTGTTGTTGTTAAGTGCTGTGAAGCTGGTTCTGGCTAATAGCGACCCTGTATAGGGTTTCCAAGGAGCAGTTGGTGAGTTTGAACCGCCGACCTTTTGGTTCAAACTGACCTTGTGGTACAGTGCTTTATCCTACAGTGCCACACCAGAACTCCTTATATACCTTTGTTGTTGTTGTTAGGTGCCATCGAGTCAGCACCGACTCATAGTGAGTGCCCTGTGCACAACAGAATGAAACATTGCCAAGTCCTGTGCCAACCTCACAATCGTTGCTACACTTGAGCCCATTGCTGCTGCCACTGTGTCAATCCATGTCATTGGGGAGCTTCCTCTTTCTTTCCAACTCGCCACTTTCCCAAGAATGAAGTCTTTTCCAGAGAATGGTCCCTCCTGATAATATGTCTGAAGTATGAGAGATGATTATATATCTTGTTGTTAAATGCCATAGAGTTGGTTTCAACTCATAGCAACCCTATATAGGGTTTTCAAGGAGTGGTTGGTGGGTTTGAACTACTGACCTTGTGGTTTACCAACCTTGTGGTACAGTGCATTATCCTGCAGCACAACACCAGTGAGGAATGAATCAATTTGCATGAACTTTCATGGACAACCATTTTGGTGAATCTATGTTTCATTTCTCTTTATATATGTTTTCATTTATATACTTTAGGAATGGAGTTGCTAGGTCATATAGTAACTCTATGTTTCATCTTTTGAGGAACTGTCAGAGTTTTTCAAGGTATTCACTCCATTTTATATTCCCATCAGCAATGCATGAGGGTTCCAATTTCTTCACATTTTGATGAAAAAAATACTTTGATCAAAATGTTCAGTGATGGTAGCTGAGCATCATCCAGTTCTGGTCTCCTGGTAAAGCAGGCATTTGGTCATGGAGGCAATGAGCCAGCCACACATTTCACTGTCTTCTCCTAGTCCTGACTTTCCTGCTTCTTCTATTGGTCCAGGTGAAACCAATTGTTGTGATTTGGATGGCTATTTGCAAGCTTAAAGGCCTCAAACACTATTCAAGGAACTGTGTGTGTGTGTGTGTGTGTTGAGTGCCTTTAAGTCTGTTCTGACTCATAGCGGTCCTGTATAGGAAGTCCCAGGAGCAGCTGGTGGGTTTGAACTGCTGACCTTGTGGTTCACAGTTCTGTACTGATCCTTCAATAGTACTTCAGGAAGTAGGAGGTAGAAAAGAAGCACTAAACATTGCATCAGGTCAATTAACCGGGATGCCTATTATAGCATGAGTCTCACCCTACAAACCAAGAAGTGAGTCTGATGAGGTGCTTGATCATGCATACCAGCAGCCTCAGGTTCTACTCTGTTTGTGTGTTATTTCATTAGTTGTGTGTGTGTGTTAATTTAATGTTATTTTTATTTTCATACATTTAAAAAAAATCAAAGCTGATCATCTTGTCTTTCAATTTCAATGTTTAAGAATTTACTTCTAAAGTAACTATTGAAATTGTTGGGTTTAAATCTATCATATGGCTATTTATTATTTTATCCATCTTTATTCTTTTATTGCTTTCTTTTGGATTACTCATTTATTATTATTATTATTCCATTTTCTCCTGTATTTACATAAAACATTTTATTCTTTAATTGAATTGTAGTAGCACTGGTTCTCTGGTCTTCCTTATTCACTGTTCAGCTTTCGCATGCATGTGAGGTGATTGAAAATACCATGGCTTGGGTCAG